AATTGTGCAGTACTGAAGGAGATATGTAAAGGGGAGTTTTGTTCTCACCATCTTCTGCACATGCTGATGGTCAATGTTTAGAACTGGTCAAGGCCAACCATCTTGCATACCAACCTGATGAGGCCTTTTGAAGATGCACCCCACACAACACCTTAGGGAGTTGCCGATTGGGCATGGGGTGGGGTAATTGGAGGGAGGGGGCTGGGTTATCATTTGTTCATGCCTTTTTGGCTCAGATCTTGCTTTTCTTTCACTGCTATCTTTTCATAACCAGCAAAAGTATCTTTAATTCCACGAACAATGGAGTTGGGAGTTTTCTTTCTTGGTAATTGATGGAGGCACGCCTGACAGGTACTTCTTTAAAAAGCTAAATGTAGAGTTTAGCTCTTTGGTTGCATTGTTTAGTTAAAAGCTGAAATTGTTATTCTGCATCCTTCTCTTTAAAGCTTATTACTGATGTTTGAAAGACGTAGATCAATCTGGGAGATTCTTATTATTTGTATGTTGACTCTGATGGAGCCCAGTGTTGTTGAGCCCTGTGCAAAGTTGTATTTTGTTTTACTGTTATAGGAAAGTTAATTATTTTTTTAGCTAATGAAAAAGCATTGACTGATAGCCTACTAGCCCTGAAACAGTAAGAAAACTTTTCTGTATCAAAGATAGAAAAATACTAGTTCTTCCCTTCGAGAAAGAAGCAACACCATGAAACTGTTCACTTATTGGCTCCTTCGTTTTGCAACAGCAGCCAATCATATGCTAAAACATCATAAATAACTTGAATTGACAAATCTGGACAAGGTTATGGCCCTCGCTGATGGATGGAGAAGGACAAAAGTACATTCTTTGTCTCATTAAGAAAAGGCAGCCTAAGTTTGGTTTCATTGAAGTAAATGGAATATGTTAATTATGATTTTAAAGACATTTATTTTAACGGAAAGAACATATACAGTAATTTTGTAAGCTGGACGCCGTCTTATAACTCTGCTGTGAAAAAGAAGCTGCTAGACGGGAGTTTTTCAGGTATCACAACTACTCGGAAGTAAATATACTGTATTTATATACCAGTTTCAAATCTGTTGATACAACTAGAGAATTGACGTTAAGAACTTCATTTGCCTACAATACATCCAGTCAAAATGTTCAGAATCCTACTGAGAATGACCAACTTGAGGCAATGCAGAAAATAGCACTGTTCACCAACACTATAGACCTCCTCCCCATTGGATTTCAGATGAATCCACTCAGATCCTCTTGCATTGCCAGCATAGATCCATTAGATCTATGCAACTGGGCTTAAAATAAACTAAATAATTGATACTTGATACGAGCTTAGGACTCTCTGGTCCTAATCAAACATAATAATCAGCATGACACAGGAATGTGAGATAAAAATAAACTAAATGAACTTTTGAAATCATAAATCTATCTACAGTTAGCCATATTACACAGAACAGAAATGTTCTGATGGCTATGAATTGGGTTATATAACAGTGAAGATAGAAAGGATTCAAACAGAAGAGAGTGGACAAGCTCGTAGGCTCAACTTCTCCATTCAGAGAATCAGTTATGTTCCAGCATGTAGAAGACAAGCATGTACAGGGAGAAAAATTGTGATGTCTCCTCTCAAGTGAGACTTATCGCGTAACTGGGAAAAAGATCTCATTCTTGAGATAAGCCCAGGAGTTATCAGCAAATTCAGTCTGCCAGTAAAAAAATATATATATATCTTGCCCTACCTGCCCTTGAAGAGCATCCGGCGACTTCAGCTAGTCCAGAACGCAGCCGCGCGAGTGATTGTGGGTGCACCTCGGTTC